TGGTTGGGGGTCACCACAACATGAGGAACTGTATTAAGGGGTCGCGGCATTAGGAAGGTTGAGGACTGCTGCTGTAGGCCTAGGGTATTAGGGTTATTGTGAAGGTTAAACAAATTGATACATGAATGGCATTTAGAAAAGTGCCTGACATATAGTAAGCATTCAGTAAGTGTTAAATATTGTTATTATCATTACTACTCCTATTCTTCCTCCTCCTACTCTTATTTCTGCTGTTATTATAAATCCATATGTGTCTGGAAATCAGTGAGTATGGCCTGGATCTTAATAAAATATTATCAATAATTGATCAACAATCCAAAGATAGTTTAGTCAGTTTTATTCATACAAAAGTTTACAGTTACAGGTTTAGTGTAAGTCACTGATAAGTTAAAATCGGGTTGTTTTCAGCATGACTGGGGTATATATTGTCAGATTATTTTTCAAAATGGACTGCAGGCTTACATCTCTGCTGTGTTGGATAACTTTTCTTGTTTCCAGTCAGGCCATGCTTCTTGATCTGAGTAAATAGTTAATTATATATGTTGTATACGTTTTATTTTAGCAAATTATGTATAATCTAGGATATAAGGTATTATAAATGATCATTTATTTTAAAATGTGTAAGCCTTAAGGCCCGGCCATAAGTTGATTTACATTATTTTTTTAGTTTTGCTACATTTGATGTTTTTTTGTGTGTAGTTAGTTATTTAAATATGTTTTTCTATAAGGAATGTTTTGTTACTCTTTGTGGTAAAGAAGAAAATCCTGTCCATACTTTTGACGAAAAGTTATCAGACAAGTCTCAAGATTCAGAACAGCTAGTAGAGAAGATGTGGTATCGTGTCATAGATGATAGCTTGGTTGTTGGAGTGAAAACCACGTCTTCTTTGAAGCTGTAAGTAAATTCTAACATGATACCTTTATCTTGATGCTCTAGAACAGCACTGTCCAACAGAAATGTAATGTAAGCCACATATGTAATTTTAAATGTTTAGTGGCCATATTAAAAATGTAAATAGAAACAGATGAAATTAACTTTAATACTGTTCTACCCAAAATATTATCATTGCTGAGGGGTAAATAATATTCTGTATTAATAAGCAGATTTTATTCAAGTTATTTAGGAGAGTATAAATACAATTTTTAATTTAGAGATATTTGCATTCTAAATTATGAAAATAATTTATGAGTAGTTTCTTTTTTCTTGTTTAAAAGGAAGGGGGGACCTACTTCAAAAATAAAATGCACACATTAATTTACCATTTCTTTCTGTTAAAAAATTACTTTCCTAAAGTCCGGCATATTTACAATGTTTTTGCTTTTCTATTTTATGAGAAGTGTTGTTACAGGATCTTTAAAAATGCGTTTGGCTTTTATGCTTCATTTTCTGATACATTTTACATTTGAAATGATGTTTGCTAGGAAAGGAGAGAATAAAGTTTTTTGTTGTTGTTTGTATGCCATTTAATCAGCTATTTGGTTTTAAAGAATGAACTTTTAGATTAAACCAAACTCTGGATGTTTTACAGGTCCCAGAACCAGGTGACTTTATCGGTGTTAATGGATCCAGCCCATAGCTCCAGCTTTCAGCTTATTAAGTGTCAAAATAGGGTGACCAAGTTGACTAGGAACTCTTTTCCAGCACTGCGCTCAGTGCCATATGAAATAGGACCAGAGGTGAAAAGGATCAAGTTGACTCTTGATAGTGAGGAAGAGGAGAGTTTTGTCTGTGAACGGCCAGCTGAGAAGGAATGTGTCCAGATGATTACTGCTGTAACACCTCTTTCGCCACTGTTAGCATTGAGTCATTTTTGTTGCATTGTGCTGCTACAAATTAGGAAGAGAGAACACGGTGACTGTTCTGAGCATCGTTATATTCCGTGTGGCAGAATTTCTTTAAGTCTGGAAGATTTTTCAAGTGGGCAATACCTAGTGACGTTTCCAAAGAATC